TGTTTTCTTGGTTACTCAAGTCCTAACTCCTGTTTATATCACTGCGTGTGTCGGCTTCAGCGCTGGGTCCATGTTCAGCTCCCACCCCGGTGAGGCTGGGTCCCCCAGTGCCCCCCTGCAGCCTTCGTGTGCTTTGTGCACGCTGCAGCAGGACGCTGGGCTCACAGCTTGCACTGCTCCCATACTAAAACAGAAAAAAACCCCTTTTTGTTTTGACCTACAAATACCATTGCAAGGCAAAGACACCCCCCCACACGCGCAATGTGAATTAATTTGTCTGGGGTGGAGGAGATGTGAAATGCTGGAGCAGAATGAATAGCCCTGGGGCACTTGCGGGAGGTGGAATGGGAAACTTCGAGTCAGTTTTCTGAGTCTCGTAACTCAGTTCCCAGCGGCCGTCCCTCCGCTCCCTGACACACATCCCGTGCCCTTCGGAAAGGAGCAGAGGAGAAATGAGCTCGCGAGAGACGTCACCTCTAGAAATGCCGAGATTCTTTCATGTGGTATTTAGAGCAGCATCGTTTCTGTCTCCTAACAACGTCCGAGGGGTTGCGGGACCCCCTTTTTTCCTAGCGCTCTTCTCCTTTTACGACTCGGTCTCATTCCCACTTATTTAAACTGCAGCTGTAACCTCTGACTCCAGACTGAGTGCCTGGCTTTGGCGTCATGCAATATCTTCTAATAGTTGAGGAGCACGGAGGTTTCATCGTGGTGCCTTGTGGGTTTATTTTATTAGCTGCAAGTGACAGAGCTGAAGAAGGAATTCTCTCTGGGCTGGTTTTAGCCTGTAACTGCCAGAGTTTCTCAAAACCCAGCTCTACTGAGCCTCTGGTTTGATGGTGGATGAAAATGCATCGGAAGATACTAGCCCCGGACCCACGCAGAGCCATCTCTTCTGCTCCATTCGTTGCTCTGGGCGTATGCACGTGGCGAGGGTGCTGGCTGCGGGAGCTGGGGTGTGTTACCGAGGCGGGAGGAGAAGCCGTGCCACCGCTGCCGCTGCTCCGTCACACTCACGGCCATCCCGGTGCAAAGGGCCCAGGGAGCTGCTTTCCAGCTCTTCCCACTGCTCTTCCCCTTCTGGAAAGGTTGTTGAGGCTGCGCTGGAGGCTGGAGCCCAGGGGAAGGTTTTACTGGAAGGGGACCAGCCTGAGCAGCGGGGCTGTGCTTTGGGTGGCATCTCGGCGACTTGTGATAGCAAAGAGCAAATGCCAGCCACTCCCTTGGGATGGGCTTCCTCTGCAAACTTAGCATAGTGCTATTTTTTCTGGTTTTTTTAATTTTGATCTGCATGTTCCGAGGCTGGCATGTCTACATTGAATAAGCTAATATTGCATTATGGGTTAACCGTAGGTTGGAAACAGTATTGCCTTCCCCTATTAACTCTTCCTGCTTGACGAGAATGTCTCCCCTCTCAACCCATCACCCTCTAACTCAGCACTAAAAATCATTCCTTGCTTGAGAAATCGGCATTTTCAGTGACTTCCGCGGTACGTTGAATAACTCTTGCTCTCCTTGCTGCACCGACGGCGTGCAGCCCCTGTGCTGGGGGCTGCTTTCCCCGGGGGGAGATCTGTGCCTTCAGTGCAGATAGTGGCACGGAGAAGTTTTCAACCCATTAATAATACCTCGACCTTGCCAAGCTCGAGAAAAAAAAACCTTCCCAAGGTTTATCCCTATGACCCAAGACGTCTGGGAGCTGCTCTGTGCTTCTCCGCCCTGCAGCTCTGAAGCCAGACCTGACTTTGGTGGCACCGGTGGCATCGTCCCCACGAGCACGTGACTATGGCCGCATTGACCGGTGTCTGTGCATGGAGCCCCGCAGCTGGGGGGGCAGGCG